GGGAAAATTAGTAAGATTTGATTTTTAATTTTTTTGTACTGGAGTGTAATGTGCATTTCTCTCTCCATATGTCACCTCCAAACATTATCAGGTTTTGCTAATATTTGTGAAATACACCAATTTGGTGAAAGAATTCTAGGCCCAGACACTAGCAGAAATGGATTCTTTTGTCTCTGTACTCCTCCCACTTTCTTACATTAGTTGTGGAAATGCAGAGAGACAGTCAAAATGGAAACTCTTAGAAAATAACAGAATATTATCCCTCTTGGGAGCTGGATTAGGCCAGGTGGGGGCTAGTATGAATGAAAATTCTTAGACCCTTCAAATACGGGGGATGGCTCCAGGGTAAGATTCTAAACGCGGTGGTTTAATGGCCAGGATTAATTATAACAGCTCAAGATATCTGCAGAATGAAAGTCCCTTACCAAAGTTAATCACTCACCCTCCCATCTCAATTATTATTAGAAGCAAAACTTGACTTGGATTTTGAACAAGTGGTTTTTTTTTTTTTTAAATATTTACGGGGGAAGGAGAGAAAACCCCCTCCACTCTACACCAGCCAGGGCTCCCTCTTTGAACAAGTGGTTTAATTTTCTTATGTCTTCGATGCCTTATTGAGTAAAACAAACAAAAACTAAATTTCTCATCACAGAATTGTTGTGAGTTTCACATAGAGTAACATATGTAAAATCGCTGTGTAAATCATAAAGCAACACACACACACACACCTCACTATTATTGCCACTGACCATTTGACCTTGTATACTAATGGTTGGGGCTACCAAAGTCTAACCTCCCAACAGTCTTCCCTCAACAAAAATTCTTCTTAGCCTCCTACAAAAAGCTTCTGATCTTGAGCATTTGTAATAGAGTCTCTTGCTTGCCAAATTTGGAGAGCTCATCATTAAAAAAAGAGATGGCCCAAGGCTGGCTTCCTTTTTTGAAAAAAACTAATGAATTTACTTCCATTTTTTCCTGTGTCTTTCTACCTAGCATGACTTAAGAATTTCCAGAGCCCCAGTACAGAGGATAAAAGGGATTTGGTAAAGTCAAGGATATGGGAAAATGTGAATCCTGCCAGGACTGCCAGGCCCTCCCGTCCCTATTCTGCTCTTGGCTGGAGTGTGCATCCTCTGTCTCCTACAGCCACCTGGGCAAGCTTTCTCTTAAATGCAAGTAACCCTTAAAGGCAAGTAACCCTTGCAAGATCACTGCTATAGCAATGGTAGAAGCTGAGATACTGTGCCAGGAACTTAATGAGGGCTTTCTTCTTTTTTTGTCCTCTTTGGCCCCACAACTGGCATTCCCTCTCTCAGCAAATACTCAATAGATCTAGCTACTGACCGCACTTAGCCCTCTCTAGTTCTGGTGTTTTTTGTCACCTTCTCATCCTGAACACTCTATGGAGGCACTTCTTTCTTCAATGGTCGCTGTCTCAGCTCCCCTGTCTTCTCCTTCACTAACTTCTGCCTTCTCATTCTGGTATAACTTCACATTGAGTTCTGCTCCCTCAAAGCTTCTTTCACTCTCATCATTGGCTTTCTCTCTGCCCCCAGGTGTTAGTCACCTAGTTATTAACCAGCAACATTCTCATGGATCAGTTTTCTTGTGTCCCACCAATGGTCTTGTATCCTCTGTCTTCAGAGTCTTCTCAACCACTGGGTTCTACTAATTCCTCATGTACTCTTTGTTCATATTTGTGATTGACTTTCTCATCTTTGTAACCAGGGTCTTCTCTGCCACTAATCTTAGCTCCCCTCACCTTCCCTCTGGCTTACCATATCACCGTTTCTCTCTGTCACCAGAGTCCTTTCTGTGACTAGATTTCATGTTCTTATAGGACTTTTTTCTGTATTCATCATTTTTCCATTTCCTCTCTTTCCTCAGCACACATATAGACATGAGCTACTATTCCTAAAAGAGACCTCACTTTTCTTCTGGACTCTTACCTCCCCACCTGCCGCATCTGTTCTCAGGATGTTATCGTCTCACCAAACGTAGTCCTCTCTGTTGATATTACTGATTCATTTGCCTTTTATCTAATACCACCAATCTCTCCACTCCATCATCCTCAGACTTCACTTATCCCTGATTCTGGCTTTAAGAGGGCATCACAACTTGATGGACGGTATTCCAGAGAGTTTATCTTCAGATATCTCCTATTGATTGCTCTCTAATTTCCCAATAATTTTGTGATTGCCTATTTCAACCATTTTCTGGTGGTTGGTGTGTGGCAAAGACTTGCCCTATCTCTCTTGCTCAAACCATTCTCTTCATACTTCAGAGAGCTCTCCCTGGGAAGATTTTACAGCTAAACATGTGGATGCTAGTAACTTCTATCTCCTCAGGACTATAGTCCAAGCCCTTCTGAATATACACGTCAAAAATGGATTTCTGACCTTGACAGGAGAAAGAAAATATGAAAAGATCACTTTCAAAATATCTGTGGCAAGACTATGAAGCATATTCTTTCAAATCCACCCTAGGAGCACATGAGCAGGAAACAATACCCCCACACCCTTCTGTGAACTAAATGTGTACTATGTACCTTTGCAGCCGTCAGCTGCGTCTGAATCCCAAGACCTTTGCAGACCACTTGCAGCATAAAATAGGTACCTCTTGTACCTATTTGCTCTGCAATGCAAGTCCTTGGTGATTATTGTCCCTGGAACTATTTCTGTGTTTTCAAGTAGTTTAGTTTGGAAACTAGTATACTAAATATTCATAGAGATTTATAAACATGCCTGTGTGCCCCCAAATGAAAAACTATTTTTTGCTGAGGTGCAGTGCCAATATACCATGGTATAAATGCTTTACCTATCAGTGTATGTATAATGTCCACATCAACATGTATAAGGTGGTATGTCATGCTATGCTATGAAGTTCAAGAAAACCTGTAGGAATACAATCACCATGAAAAGATTAGCATACATGTCACAAAAGTGTTTGTTTCTAAGCACTTATTTATAAGCACTTATTCAGATTAACTCCTTTGGTATTTGTAGGATTCTCATTTGATATAAGTCACAGAAGCAGACACTTTGTTTCTCCTTTGTCACTAAATGTCTTACTAATTAGTTCTCCTTTGTCTGCTTTTGAACCCCATCTCCCAAGCCACCTATCAGCATTTTACTCCTATGCTTTCTTATAGAGAGCTTAATACAACAAATAATTTTATCTTTGTGATTGATTATGTGGCAGATACTTCAAAGGCACTGAAAATATAAAAAACCTAAAATAGAAAAGATAGTGAGGCCTTATGTAATTTACAGTCAAGTGAGGGTGGAGAACATTAAATATTTGCTCAAAGACTGATGTAAGACCAACAATGTGGCAAGTGCTGGGGAAGGGACTATGCTGCTGAGAAATCTGACCTTGCCATGGAGCTCAGTGAAGTGTTCTTACAGTGTGAGCCAGGGGACAAATAAAGTTTGGAAGTTAACTTGATGGAGAAGAGAGGAGAGAGAAGGGCCGTCTAGGGAACCTGTGCCAAAGCGATGTGGTGAAATAGCATATAAGTCCCTAAAATTAGTCTCTGTGACAGTGGCACTGAGGGTCGGGGTATGTTTGGGGAAGGAAAGGAAATAAGTAGGCGGGACTAGACCCGACAGAGGAATTTCTAAGCCACGTTATAGACCTTGGTGTTATCCTAAGAAAGACACTGAAGTGTTTCTTAAAAAGGAAGGTTTTATTGTGTGTGTATGTGTGTGTATGGATATACGTATATATATAAAATTTTATTTTAAAATGTTACTTATGTTTCATGGCAGAGGATGATGGAGATAGGGTAAGGCTAAACAAGAAGACCTTGCTATTGCCGTTATTTAGTATTTTAGTGCCCTCGTATTGAGACCATAAAAGTGGTGATGGAGAGAAGGGAGCAGATGGAGAGCGATTCAGAACAAAGATGACACTTGGTGATGTGAGGGGGGGAGGGCAGCCTCCAGGCGTGTGTGAGAGAGCGGGTGGTGACAAGATGACGGTGGGTTGGCCACCGTTTTCTTGCAGGGCATGCCACCTGTTAAAACACGGTCAACTGGAAGATGACGCCTTTTGTGAAGAAAGTTAATGAGTTATTTTTTTTTAAGGCCAACGTTTTTATTTCTGTTCTTCCCATGAGTGAATGGGTAACTGTTTGACCACTTTCAAATTTCCACCATTGAAACTGTTGTAATAGGAGTTTATTTTCTTTTTTTTCTCATTTTTTTATTTAGTTATTTTTTAAGTACAGTTTTTTGTCTATTTCTCCCATCCAAGCCCACCCCCCCCCGTACCGCACTCCCCACCTCCCCCCCACCCCCCAGCCCTCCTCCCTGCGTCCCTCACATTTGTTCCCCCAAATCCCTCCCCCCTTCCCTCTTAAATTTCCTTCCCTCTCCCCTCTGGTCACTGTCCCCTTGTTCTCTATTTCAGTGTCTTTATTTTTATTCTGCTTGCTTGTTTATTTTATTGTTTAGCTTCCTGTTAAAGGTGAGATCATATGGTATTTGTCTTTCAACACCTGGCTTATTTCACTCAGCATAATGCTTTCCAGTTCCATCCATGTTGTTGCAAAGGGTAGGAGCTCCTTCTTTCTCTCTGCTGCATAGAATTCCATTGTGTAAGTGTACCACAGTTTTTTGATCCATTCATTTACTGATGGGCACCTAGGTTGTTTCCAACTCTTGGCTATTGTAAATTGTGCTGCTATGAACATTGTGCTGCAAATGAGTTATTTTTTATATGTTGAGCTTGAACTGCCTTTGAGATTTTAGTTTTGACATGTTAAATAGACAGTATGGTATATGGGAATGGCACCCTGGGCTGCTATGTAAATTTGATACACATTACTGCACACGTGGTGATTGAAACTGAGAGTGTAAGAGATTAGCTTGGGATATTGTAGAGGGAAGGTGTAGAGAACATAAAGGCTAAAGTTCCAAAATACAGGCTAAATGAGACTAATGGTTGAATAACTGCATTGCTAATTCAGATGGAAAAAAATGTACTCAGCATAAGTGTTCATTTTACATAACATTTTTTCCAGCAGCCTTCCCACACTATAGAGAGATAGTGCTATAGTGACAAGAGCCATACACGAACACATTCTTGCACATACAGAGCCCTCGAGGATATAAGTAATACTCTGTCTGGACTATCCTTTGTCATGAGTTCAAACTTCATGTGTTTTTCAGCCAGAGAAATGGAGACTGATTTACTGCTGAGTGGATGACAACTGACAAATCCATTGCTCACGGTCTTCACATTTTTTCCCAATTATGTTAACACGAGACACCTGGGCACATTTCATGCTCCGAGTCCATGGTGTGCTTTCTTCTATTGAAAATCTGTATAAAGAAAGCAGTTATCTTTACATCAGCCTGGAAAATATGCATATATCCAGAGACTAAGAGGAACTCAGAAAATATTTTCTAATTATTGAATAAAACTATGATCATCAAAACAACTTAAACAAGACACAATATGAAAGGTAAAGTAATTCTTCCACCTTCAGTTTTATTTCTTAAAACCTCTCTCCAGAGAAGTTAACAGTTAATAAATCTTAGTTTAAAATGCATATGGATAAGGTTAAAATGTTACCTTTGATTTTTTTAAATTAAAAATTATTGAACACCATAGGAAATAAACAGAAATTTATATTTGTGAACTAAATTGGTACTCTCATACGAGATTTTACGATAGCCAATTTCTTCTTTAGATAAAAAATAAAATAAAAGTTTGCAAATCCTATTTCACATGTAAACTTTCTGAGTGAATGAAGTGAAATTTGTTTTCTTTCTCAATTTTCTGTGTGGAGCATTTTATGTGAATATTTACCAGGTTATAAAAATTGGGAAATTAATACTTGTTCACTCAGTTCAAGTCCAACAATATCAGATGACCCCTTCTTATCACACAGGGAGTCACAGAAAAGCTAAAAATACAATAAACTTACAGACGGGGGTCAAACGAGCTGTTGTCTACCCAGGTCCATAGTTTTTCTTTGGTTGGAATACTCAAGCCAATCCAATAATAGTCTGAATGACTTAGGTGCAGCCATAGGAAACTCTAAATGGAACAGGAAATGTTTTATGAAACAACTGACTAATTCTTATTGATATAAGAAAGGCATTTCAAGTGCACTTTATATGTACTTGGAGTTGTACCAGAAGATGGAAATGAGCAGATGAATAAGACACTTTGTGTTTTCTTAGAATCACCATAGAAGGATAAACTACTGCAATGCAACGCAATGACTGCTCAAGCAAAATTACATACAATAGTAGTAGGTCCTAAGGCTGTGGACTCAGCCTGCTTAGTTTGAGTCCTAGGTCTCCTATCTACTGTGGTGCCTCTTAGCACAGTTATTCAATCTTTTTACTTCTGTTTTTTCCAGTCTCTAAAACTCAGACTGTAATAGTTACTATCTCAAAGAAGTATTATGTTTTATTGCATAATATTATGAAACACAGCCTGGTACACAATAAATAATCATTACATAAATGCTAGTGAGTATTATTAAAAACAGGTATGAAATAAGTATAGAAGCAAGAGAATACACAGAAAAAATTAAAGAAAGCAGTATCTGACCTAATGTTGTACATGTTGTTTATAGTTTTTTTAATATCTCTTATTTCTAGAGAAATATAAACCCTGAGCCAAAGTACACGACCAAACATAACAAGGGCTGTATTTCCTGGGTTCCTTTTTGGCTCAGTGTGACAATGTGACTAACCTTATTTCTGACTAATGAAAAGAAACGTGATACTGAAATTAGAATTAAGACATTATAGGGCATGGCCATACTCTTTTATTCATCATTTCCTTCTTTCTTTAAGGACACATGGGTGTTCTAGATGGACTCATAATTATTTTGGGGGGTCATTTTATCTTTAACTTATTTGAAAGCTGGAAAAGTATTTGTCTGAAAATTATTTCGTTTCTTGGAGTAATTATTCTTCTGTAATATATATTTTATCTGACTTTTACTTGTCTATTTTTGGAGAGATTTGGAAATATCTATGCATAAGTTCTATGCTGACTCCTATTTGACTTTCACTTATCCTTAAAGGGAACAATTACATCTAATCCATTCACTTGCTAATGAATATTGTGAAGAGGTATAACCTGTACTGGAAAAAAAGTTTCCATTAAAACATGCTGTTTCAGTCTACTGTTCTCCAAAAATCTGGTTTGCTGTTTGACCAGGAGACATGTCTTTTTGCTTTTCAGTATTCTTCCTTTTAATTGTGAGCAGCCAATAGATGAGGTTCTTAGTAAAGTCTTAGTAAATTGTACAATTTCTCTATGCAATGATTCACTGTTAGTTCATTACAGAGCCTGCTTCTCCTTTCTTGTCTTAAAAGTGACCTCTAGGAGAAGAAAACAGTTTCAGTTCTTAATCCATCCTTATTTGGTTCATACTATCTGACATAGAGTCTCACAGTTTGGTATTTGGGGTTATACTGGTTACCGTGAAGAGAGCTCATTTCTATTTTTGTTGTTCTTGTGTAGCTTTCCACTCTCAGACGTTTCCACAGCTGCCCTGTTGTGAATCACACAGAAGGCTGCTGTTGCTTTCCCAGGACTGTGAAGCATTCATTGGGTTTTCAGAAACAGCCTTTGTCATAGTTGTAATTCCAGCACACCAGTACTCATGCGGAGAATCCTTATTTGATGTTTGCCCATGAACACCTATATTGATCTTATTAAGTAGAAGATTTAGTGTTCAATCTCATGTAGCAAAGTTTCCATTTAAATTAAGTGAGAGTTAGCAAAATATTAGTTCTCCTCAAGGAAGAACAAAGTCTTAATGTGAAGTACTGTGCTTTTTCCCGATATTGTCCTTAATTCTAACAACCTTTGTGAGCGCTCTAACAGACATGGGAGGTGAGATATTTTATCTTACATTTCAAGGTGGGATATGATAAGCATGTGATTTAGTTGTATAATATAAATGAATTCTTTCTATTCTTTTCAAAAAGAGGCCTAAAATAATTGTAGAGGTCAATGATTCATTCAACCAATATTTTGTAGTGAATAGCAATGGGGAGTAAAAAAATGATAGAAACTTTCAAATTTGTAGCACCAGGAATACATCGTGATCATGAGGGATGCTGTAATCTCTAAGTTCTGTATCTCACCATATCAATGAAGTCCCGAATCACCATGAGCTGTGAATTTTTCATGATGCAGTCATTTCTACTTTCAATCCAAGATTTCTTATGGGTATCAACCCAGTAGCATTTCCCCTCATGTAGCTTCCAGTCTTTGTTGGGGCATGGTTTGTGAGCAGTAGGAGGGTTGGAAGAAACTGGGAGAAGCAAAGGGTAAGTGATTAGGAGAAACTTGGAACCATACCCCTAACATTGTATGATCATACCAAGTTGCAATTTTATTGGTAATTTAGTATTTATTGCAATATTACATGATTAAAGCCTCTAAAATTTGTTAAATAATGGTTCAAGTTTTTTTTTTTGACAAAAGTATGTGCTTTTCTCAGGGTGGATTTGGAAAAAATAAAAATTAACAGGCTTGCAACCATGTGTATAGTCATTCATTCATTATTTATTTACTCATTTAATTTATTCTCTTAGAAATATATCATGTTTTCTAAGAGCTAAACAATACACAAAACACTAGCATGGGACAATAAATACCACCTCCAAGACACAGGGTGATAAAATTTTACAGAAAAATTAGAAATTAGGGATTTTAATTAGTCGTCCACCCATGGACCAGATATTTTGGGAGCTATGTATCACACTAAAATAATTTTTCTTGAGAAAAATAGGTCACACCTAAAATTTAGTTTAATCCTCCTGTACACAAAAGGGTCTTGACATTCAAAAATGCACTGATAGTTAACAGATAGTTCTAATTTATAACATTTGCCAGTAGGCTTAGATGACAATACACAATAACCTAAATATACCAATAATTTATTGTCCTGTCAAATAAATATTCTTTGAAAACTCACACATACACACAAACACACTATGATTTGAAGCCGTTGAAGAGTGAGAAAAGTAGGCGGATTTTGGAGGGTTGCTGACACTTGAAAGGTGTGGCAAGGACCCCTGGGTGAAATCAATGGGAGGGAGCACTGAATGTGGGGGGGAGGGCAGGGGAGAGAAATGGGGGGGGGAATGAGGACAACTCTAATTGGACAACAATAAAAAAGAGAAAGGTATAGAATGGTAAAAGTTACTCATTTTCACAACTTTTAGCCTAGAGATATTAACATTGGTAATGTGTGGAATGGGTAAAATTTTAATAGTTAACCTGCATTGTTTCTAACCTGAATAGCCAAAGAACAGAGTTTGGGGCAACCACAGATACTAAAAATGATAAGTGAATCCCATAAAAGAGAAAACATAGGGTGTGTGCACCAACTTCTGTATGTAAGCTTTTCCTAAGTCCCTGCATGTGAAAACTAGGTTACTGCTAAGGATAAAAAAACTAAATTGAGATCTGAGCTGCTGCCTAAAAGACAGAAATTTAATATTGAGTCCAACTACACATACCTGCTAAAAAAGAAAAGTCAACTCTTTTTTGGAGAAATATATCAGAATCCATAGATTTTTAACATAAATTTCACAATGTGAGAGTACTCTCTCAAAACATTTGCCATAAGGAAAAACAGGAAAATATGGCGAATTCTAAAAAGAAAGGGAATTAATGCAGTCTGGTGGGAAAATGATGCAGAAGTTACGATGATCAGACAAGTATTTTAAAGCAGCTGTGATAACATGCTCACACCCAGGATGTGAAAAACATGTGTTTTCAATGAATCAAAAGATAGGATACTTCAGCTAAGAAATATAGAATATAAAAACTAAATAAAATGTAGAATTGAGGGTCCCATGGACAAAGACAATGGGGGAGAGGATTACAGGTGGGGGTGGGGAGGGCAGGGGAGAAAAATGGGGCGAAGGGGGACAACTGGAGTTGAACAGCAATAAAAAAAGAGAAATGTAATATATGATACAAAAACTGAGCCAAGTGAAGAAAGGGCAAATGAAGGGCACCAGCAAGAGGAAGGTCTAGAAGCAACCTGGCATGTTCAGGCAGGGCAGGCACGGGCGCGTGGGAGGAGAGGAACGGCAAGGGGAGCTACAGGAGGAGAGTGGGGGCCAGGTCTGGGAACCCTAGTCTTTTCCCCATAGGAGGTGGTGGCCCAGATATTTCAGGCCCAGATATTTCTGTTGGCAGGGATGTGTGGACATAATCACATTTTTGGAAAATTGCTTTGGGTACACTTTGAGGAGTATGAACAAACCGGTAGTGGCAACGAGACCAGATGGGGAAGCAACATTTGCACGGAAGCCTACGTTTCCCTAGTAAGCCCTAATGTTTGATGCAAATACAACTTTTGACTGTGTAATATGCCTCATAAATAAAGCTAAACATATTTTACTTGAAATCAATTAAAGCTGCAATTGACTATTTTGGAATAAAAACTTCATTGGGTAGGCTTAAAAGCAAAGAATTAATGAAAAAATCTGGTTAGTAAACTTAAAATAGTCTAATATGAAAAACAGACAAAAATCGTTGTAAAACTATTTTTACAGAATCTCAAAGATTTGCAGGACAATATAAAATATCTAACATTAAAGATAAAAATTAAAGTCTTAGAACCAGAAGAGAGTGAAAATAATGGATTCCATATTTTTAATATTAGATACTTTGACTAGATAATTTGAAGCTGTGCTTTTCAACCATTTTTGTTTAAAAGAATATAAAAATGTATTTCTAAAGTATCACCAGATTAATAAATAACAATCTGTTTATAGTCTACCAATTAACCACTGGGATCTTTGTAGCTCAAAGACCTTAAGGCATGCAAATGTGTTTGGGCACAGTATTAGGAAAACTCCTCTTTGAAGATACTTTTACTGCAAGATAATTAGAACCTAAACAAATTAGGTAAAAAATGTTGCTTAGCTTGGGAGAAAGAAGAAAAGTTGCTAAAAAGAACCATTTATCTAGACGTGAAATGGGGAACAATGACTGTGTAAATGAATTCAAAGGCAAGATTCCCTCAAAGTCTATGCCTTATATCAGTGCTAGGGTTGTAAGACAAGCCTTGGACTTACTGAAAGGTGATGCAGTGAGTTTATGAGGCTCTTTCATTAGTCTAGGGTCTTCACATGGGCCATAAGTCATCCAAATCATTAGCTCCCCATTGCAGAGGAAAATGCAAATAATCTTTGCAAAAAGTATCTTTTATTTTTCTCTTAAAAATCCAACAACTGAGATTAATCAAAGTTTTAAAAAAAATCAAATACTTTAGGAACAAGGAACATAGTAGTAGGAAGTATAAACAGCAGATTTGGTCACTAAGGACTTTAGATATTTAATAATCAGATCTGACACATAGGTAATTATCAGATATGTCAGATGGTTACAATAATTTGTTTTGGCCTTTCAAAGTGTCACGCACATGAACTATGAACTGCCAACACAATCATGAGATATCTTATAGTGCTTGATTCTTCAACCCAGTTAGATCATCTGACCACAGCGATGAAGCTGCCAGACAATATGACATCAGGAACTAAATTAATCATATTGAGGAAAACAATGGAAGCTTGCGCAAGAACTAACCAATCAGCTTTATCCTCGAACCCTAAATCCTAATCCTCGATCTCTGACTTTAAAAACCTTTGATTAAAAACCATCAAATGGTTGGTAGGAGAGGGGGGAAGTTTACAAACAGATTTGAAAATAAATCTTTAGGTTTGAAAGCTAGTCCTTGAAACTAGACTTAATGAGTCAGCAGCTTAGAAACAGGAAGAGAGAATTTGTGAACTACACTCTGAAAACATTGCCAAGAATTCACAACAATGAGGACAAAAATACAGGGTAAAGAGAAATGGAGGGTAGAAAACAAAGGTCTATTACTGCAAATCTAGTGTATGTCCTAGAAAGAACAGAGTGAAGGTAGACAAAGAATTAGGAGTCATGGCTGAACAGATCCATTGTTTACTTTAAGTTGATTTTATTGTTTAATTAAGATCAAACAAATTTAGACTTGGTATTCTTTCCTGTTGAATTGAAACTAGAAGTCTAGGAGAGGTGACATATATCTATAACAACAGAATGAGGACTAGAAAATGGGTTTCACAGAATTTAAAGCTAGTCTTTTGATGGCTGCTGGTACCATTTGTATTATAGGCACTGAGTTCAATAAAGTGTGTTGCTTTGGAGATAATGTTCCAAATACTTGTCTTTATAGTTATGCCAGTTAAAACACTCTTAACTAGTATGGATGTTGTATCAGATACTATTTAGAATTTGTCTGAGCAGGCTTGGAAACCTCAAAATCCATTTGAAAGTTTTAATGAATTTTCAGAATCTGAATGGACTCTATAACATAGACTAGTAAGTCTTTCTAATAAAACTATATCTGAATGCTCAAAGGAAGAAAGATATATGGTGTTTTTATACAGAATTAAAACTTAAATTGAAGGACTTAAAAAAGTATAAAAGAAACAACTGGAAAAAGGAAATGAAAAGGCCAAATAATTATTTTTATAAAAGTATGAAAATACATTCATATAAGAGGAAAATAGAAAGACCAATATAAGATTATCATTTGCAATTTGTTTTTCATGTAATAACATTAGGAAGTTGACAAAAAACTGCCTGGTCTGATAATAAATTTTAAGAACAAAAATATTTTGAACACATTTGCACTTGTGTATGTTCCAACAGAAATTAAAAAAGAATAAAATGCAATTATTTCAGTGAAATACCTTTACATTCATTTAAAACTCATTATTTAAACTCACTTTTTCATTTGCCTTGGATCTTGGAACATTTTTATCATAGACTATAATGGGCCCATGAAAAGCAATGATCTAAACCATCCTTTTGTAGGGGTAGAATCTCCCTATGCAGATATACTCAAGTAAAACTGATACTACAGTTCATGCTTGGTTACTCAGGAATTAAGCCAAACAAAATAATGTTACCTATTGAGGTGATTGTTCCAGATTTATTTTTCCCATTACAGTATGCCTCTTTTGATTCATTATCCACTTCAGTATGTCTTGCAGATTTGTACTGGATAACTAATGAAAGAAAAACAAAATTTTCTAATCAAATGCAAAGCACAAAACCACTGAACTGTAGTGCCAATGAAATTTTCATTTATGGGGAAATTCCGCAGTAAGCTAAATGATTGGAAGTTAAGTAGGAGAGGATCCAAGGTTGCAGTGGGGTATGTAGATGTTATATTCCCCTCCTCTCAGGGCCAAATTGGAATTACGACTAAAATGTAGAACAATCAAGCTGAATAACCAACAGAAAACTTGCCGATCAGAAGTCTTATAACCAAAGATTTACAGAAGAAGCCACATCTACACTGGTAGGAATGGTGGAGATATGAAAAGGATGGCTCCATTTTTTAAGCACCAGCTGAGGTTCAGGAGGGATATGGTATCTCAGCTGCAAAGTTTCCTGTGAGAAGTTGAGGTCTCAACCCCATTCAAAGATACACAGCTCAGAGCACTACAGCCAGCAAGAGACACCACCACATAACATCTGGTTGTAAAAGTAAGTGGGAATTTTGTTTGCCAGGAAAAGATAGGAGTCTGCTAGAGACACAGTTACACTCTTAAAGAGCTTATGCACGAAATCTCCTTCACAAACACTCACCCTGAGCTCTGGTGGAGGGGGTGTGGAGTGGACTAGATTGTGTGAAGAGAGACTGGGGTCTGTGGTTTTGGGGAGATTGCTGAAGGAACAGCCACCAGGAATGCTGTGCTGATTGCCTCTCCCATTCCACAGAAGCCAACTGTCTTGGGTGGAGCATCCCTCTCTTTATAGCATCAGCCTGAAGGGATGCAATAACCTCACTATTTGAACTCCCTGTTGACTCACCTTGCAGAGCTTACACCCTGCTGGGGAGTCAGCTGCCTTGGCTGGGGTATAGAGATCTGGGCAAACATAAGAGGTGTCAGTGACTGGTTGGTGTGGCTCTGGGGCAGGGACCATTACCCACCACTTTCGCATTAACCTGACTGGTGCCTCTTCCCTCACAAAAGATCCACTAGCCTCACCTTCCTGGCCCCTGGTGGCGCTACCCTCTTGATTCCTGGTGGCCCCATGCTGCCAAAGTCTGGGCAGAATCCAGGACGATCTGAGTTGTGTGGCTCTGGGGCAGGGACAAATTCACCCATCTTCCAACAGCTTGACTGGCACTTTCCCCCTCTTAGGAGATCCACTAGCACAATCCTTCCAACTCCCAGTGACTCTGCCTGATGAGCTAGGCCTCACAGCAGAATCTTGGACAGACTGAGTTGTGTGGCTCTAGGACAGGGACTACTTTTCCCTTGCAGACCCAACCGGTGCAAAGCTATCACTTCATGCAGCCAATTCTTGGTCTTTTGGGGCCTGGTAAACTCTGCTGGCCTCACCTGGAAGAATCCCTGAACCCCTGCCCCATCACAAGGTCTGTGGGCACCCAAGGTCTGCATGGTAGCTAGATTTGTTATATTCTGTGACATTTGCTGAGTGCCCTCAGGCCCAGCAGCAGCACTGAGTTTGAAGTCAGTCTGATGAACACCGCTCGCCCCTACCTGGCAACTCACTGAGAACATACCTTAGGCAGTTTGAGTACCGCCAGAGGCTCTTGCAGTGACTGGGCCTTAAAGGGAGCCAGCAGGTGGAGGCAGGCAGAAGCAGATCGTGGGGTGCTTTGGGACTTTTGCTGACCTGCCTCCCAGGCCTAGGTAGGGATGGTAAAAACTGGCCTTGGTGTGCAGCTGGGTACTTCCCACACACACCGAAGCTCAGCAAAGACAGCCATGTATAATTGGAATCATATCAGGCATCTTCTCTCACAATAATGATGTGAAACTACAAATCAACAACAAGAAAACCACCTAAAAAAGCACACAAAGACATATAGGCTAAATCATGTGTTACTAAACAATGAGTGGGTTAACAATAAAATCAAGAAAGAAATAAAAAGATAACTTGAAACAAATGAAAAGGAGAACAAAACAACCCAAAATCTATGCAAAACCGCAAAAGTTGTCCTGAAAGGGAAATTCATAGGGCTATCTCAAAAAAGGAGAACAATTTCAAATAAACATCTAACATTACACTTAAAAAAACTAGAAAAAGAACAACAAAGTCCAATGTGAGTAGAAGAAAGGAGATAATAAAAAATCAACCCTGGCTGGTGTAGCTCAGTGGATTGAGCACAGGCCTGCGAACCAGAGGATCGCAGTTCAATTCCCAGTCAGGGCATATTTCTGGGTTGCAGACCAGTTCCCTGCAGGCCATTTCCCAGCAGGGGATGCATGAAAGGCAACCATACATTGATGTTTCTCTCCCTCTCTCCTTCCCCTCTAAAGATAAATAAATAAATAAATAAAATATTAAAAAAAATCAAAGCAAAACTAAAGGAAATAGAGTTTAAAAACACAAAAGATTAATGAAACCAAGAGATGGTTCCTTGAAAAGATAAACAAGACTGATGAACCTTTAAACAACCTCAACAAGAAAAAAAGAGAAAGGACTCAAATTTAAAAAATCAGAAATGAAAGAGAAGTAACAACTGACATCAAAGAAAAACAAAGAATTGTAAGAAAATATTACAGTCAACTATGTGCCAACAAATTGGACAATCTGATCAAATGGGTAAATTCCTAGAAACACGCAATCCTCTAAAACTGAATCTGGAAAAATCAGAAAATCTGAATAGGCACAGTATAAATAATTGAATTAGTAACAAAAAATCCCCCAAACCTCCCAACAAACAAAAGTCCTGTTCTGAAAGGGAAAATTGAACCTATGCATGCCAAAAAAAGAAAGAAAGAAAGAAAGAAAGAAAGAAAGAAAGAAAGAAAGAAAGAAAGAAAGAAAGAAAAGAAACTGCATTACCTTCTTACACCATCCACAAGAATAAACTTAAAATGAATTAAAGACTTAAATGTTAGACTCCACCCCCCCAAAAAAAAACCCCAAAACAAAAAAACTAGAAGAAAACATAGGCAGTAAAATCTCAGATATTTCTTATAATAATATTTTTTTCTTATATGCCTCCTTAGGTAAGGGAAACAAAAGAAAAAATAAATAATACTACATAAAACTGCACATTTTTTGCACAACAAAGGAAGCCATAAACAAAATGAAAAGACAACTTCCTGAATGGGAGAACATATTCTCTAAATAATACATTTGATAAGGGGTTAAAATCCAAAATTTATAAAGAACTTAATACAACTCAACACATACTCAAAACACAAGCAATCCAGTGAAAAAGGGAGCAAAGGACCTAAATAGACACTTCTCTATAGAATTCATACAGATGGCCAAAGACATATGAAAAGACACTAAACATCACTAATTATCAGAGAAATACAAATTAAAACCACCATAAGTTATCATCTCACACTTGCCAGAATGGCTACCATCAAGAAATCAATAGGCAAGTGTTGGCGAGGGTGTGGAGAAAGGGTACCCTTGTGCACTATTTGTAGGAATGCAGATTGGTGTGGCCAGTGTGGAATTTACTAAAAATTTTAAGAACGAAACTGCCTTCTGACCCAGAGGCTCCACTTCTAGGAATATATCTGAAGAAACTTGAATCACTAATTCGAAAGAATATATGTATCCTATGTTCATTGCAGCGTTACTTATAATAACCAAGGTTTGGAAGCAGCTCAAGTACTTAGCACTAAAGGAGTAGACAAAAGAACTGTGGTGCATTTCCACAATTGAAGACTACTCAGCCATATAAAAGAAGGAAATCTTACCTTTGAGACAGCATGGATGGACCTGGGGAACATTATACTAAGTGAAATAAGCCAGTTAGGGAAAAATAAATACTATATGGTTTCACTTATATGTGGGATCTAATGAACAAAATAAATTTACAAATGAAGTAGAAACAGACTCATAGATATAGAAAACAGAGTGACAGCTGTTAGAAGAGAGGGTTTGGGGACCTGAGGAAAAAAGGTGAGGGGACTAAGAAAAAAAATCTCAAAAACAAAGACAACAGTATGGTGATTACCAGGATACAAGGGGATGAGGGGGGTGAGAGAGGGTAAGGGGGCATGAATGGTGATGAAAGGAGACGTGACTTTGGGTGGTGAACACGCAATGCATTAAACAGAAGATGTATTATAGAATTGCACACTTGAAATCTCATTGTAGTAACTGATGCCACCCTGACAAATTCAATATTTTTAAAAGCTTTTTGGATTGATGAATTTAAAACTAACTTCTTGCCTATAGATATAAGATTGATAATGTTCAAGAGTAGTTAATATGAATAAACTTACACATAAATATAGTTTCTATTTCATTTGCTTTTATCTGCATATAGTTTTAAAAAAAGGTTGTGCATAGCCCACTATCAAAGCGCACTGGGAAATTAATTATGTGATCATGTTTATTAAATACATATAAATGTAATCCTGATATCTCATTTCTTTATCAATGAAATAAATATATATATTATATCACATGCTGAAGTTCTGTGGCACATGTCCAAATGTAATTGTGTTTCAAATTCATACTTTTTGTGAAGTTTACTTTACTGTTTATGAATCTCTAGAACAACAAACACGATTACAACAGGTCACTGTAGAATAATACCTTGGGGATAAATGAATGGTATTGTCAGTTACTTACCAAAAATGCTGAGCATAATTATTATTACAAGGAGGACAATAATCATTGTACATCCAATTTTCAGAAGAATTCTATGATGGTGAGACTCTGCAAAATTGGACAGATTTCACTAGTAAGCTCTGTAGATAATGATAGTGATAGATAGGAAAGGGCTGAATAAACCCAGTCAGTTATGTTTCTCCTGAATTACTTTGAAATAGATAGGCCCGGCTTCCTTCTAAACACACACACACACACACACACACACACACACACACACACACACACACCCCATAACTGTTTTTTTTTTAGTTTGTGAAAAGGGGGGGCCAATAAATTCAAATCTCTAATCCATAATAATTACAATATATCAATCCCACTATATATGTGATATTAATACACATATACATACAATACTCTGAGATAGTACTAAAATAACTGATTTTAAAATATAGCCAATTATAAAATCATGTGTCAAGGCTGATTAACCTGAATGCTTATATAGTGGAATATTTTTATAGAGTGCTCAGTTCTATAAGGTGTTCGATATACCATTATTATTAAGTAAAACATCTTCAGTAAGAATACACTAATTTTTAAAATGTAAAGAAGTCCATGTAAGTTCATTTACCAGGCAAAACAATGCAGACTGGGCCAGTCACAGCAAACGCAGGAAAAGCGAGGTCCTGTTTCTACACCGGTCTCCAACATGAAGAACTGAGGTTATAGACCTCAACGCTTACAAAGTAAAACTTTGGATTTGATGAAAGGACTGACATAAGAGATATTAGGTCCTTTTTAGACCTCCGAGGTAAGATTTAAGAAAAACGTGAATGTCTGAATCTTATCCTGGAAAATTCTCATTACAATATCTCCTGATATTCCTCACTGATATTTTCTTTCTTTTTCACTGATATTCTGCTAATCTTCATGGTGACATCCCTTTTGGTTTTCTATGTTGGAGAACCAATGAACCTATAGTATTTATTGAGTACCTAATGAATCTCATGAATTTATGTATCCATTTATACATTCGTTCAGTTAATAAGCATCTTTTGAGTACCTTCTGTGTACCTACTGCTGTGTGAGGGGTTGGAAATACGAAGGTTAAGAGATTGGGGAGATGGTTTCAACATTTCCTTGATCAAATATGGTCATTTTAAGGGGCAAAACAGCCAGAGCAAAATAAGTGAAACGTAAGACGTTAGAAGAGGAACACCAGGGACAATTGTATAGGGCTTTGTAGGACATGAAAATATTGTATTTCAAATAATTCCCCCCTCTCTAATGATATGATGATAAGAACAAAAGTGGCATGTAACTAACAGAGATATGCAGCGGAAGGTATTTGCCTTCTGGTCATAAGCATGATCGTGGGCAAGTAGTTTCATTTTCATGTTTTCTCATGTTTAATGTTAGAAGATTGGACTAGATAGCATTCAAGATATTTTCCCCACATTTCTAAATCAGGAATGAAGTAAAATCCTATCCCTAAACCAGAAGGAGATCAAACCTTAGAATGCAGAAACAAAAATGCTGGTTTTGTTGATTGAACTGAGTGAAATAACCTCTAGAAAATTGGACTGACTGTAGGAGATTGTCTTAGGGTTGCAAGAATAAGAATGCAATCCTAGCTCATGTTGGTTTTCAAATTAAATTCCATCATCTCATAGAAAATGAAAACACCTAGTCTAGGGAGAAAAGAAAGCAAATAAGCAACTATTGGGCAGGTTAGAGAGGTAATGTTTAAAGATAGGAAGCGATGTGCTTCTGCTACTAAAGAAACACACATCAAATTCACTTGACAACTGCAGGCTTAAGAATGTCAAATAAAGATGCGTTCTTTGGAAATACAAAAAAAAGCAAAACATCCTTTCACAAGGGGAAGCACAATGAAAAGAACTTAAAATATTTAAACATTTTATAGGAACCTTATAATATAAAAAAATTCTTACTCTAGGAGAGAATATAAATTCAACATGGACATTTCCCTAGTGCTTCAGAGAATAAATACACACTGGATTTGAAAATATATCACTTTTGAGGTGTTTTGTGATTAAGGTATAATGTTATCTTTAGCCAGCAATTTTCAACCAGCGTGCTGTAAGAATTTTTAAAACATACACTAACTGACTGTTTACTCAGGGGCACTGGCCTCTTTTCCCTTAGATTGTCAAATAAAAAAAATGACAGCAGTCGACACAGCAACAGCTACCTGGTGTCAATGAATCAAAATTATACCTGTTTTCCTGTCATGTTGGCAAAAATATGTATTTTTTGGTGTGCAAAAAAACCTGCAGAAGGTTAGTAGTTAGTTTATGTGTACCATGAAATGAAAAAGGTTAAAAATCACTATTTTTAGCTATAGGCTTGTCTCTTCATATTTCAAAAGTATTCCAATACTCAAATAGTCATTAATTCTAAACTCTAAGAAATAAAATACTAACATTTCATGTCTCTTTAATTTGGCTTCATATTTTATCCTATCAAGATGCAATTTCTAAAGGAGTAAATAAAAATGGGAGTAGTTGCAGGAGATACTTTCCTCGCTGTAAATGAATTAGTGTGTTCACAGGTCAATTTGAGTCGAGGTGAGTGAAGCTGGAGAGAGAAAGGGGTCATGAGCACAGCTGCCACTGTCTGAGCCTAAATCTTCACCATGAGGACTATAAAGAGAGAGGCCATGAAAACCAAAAGCAAAGTTCTACGTATTAAAATTAAAGTTACAATTTATATTATGAACATTTTGTTTCATTAAATCTTACACTCAATAACTTTTACTTTTAACCCAATCTTCTATTTCCAGTAAGACAAACATAGACACAGGACAGGAATAAACAAGATTAAAAGTAAAATATTAATTTTAAAAATAGTCCTAAAGTCAACTTACCAGGTCTTGGAACTGGAGATGAATGTCCTAAATGTGAAGCTCTAATAGTTTGGAGATCAGCATAGACTATATCTCCAGACATGGCTTATATTAAAAAGGGGAGGCTGCCCTGCTGAAGGCGGTCTCATAGTTCTGCAAACAAACTTCTATTAAGTAGACTGAGACGGATGAGTTCCTTCCACTCCCCCAGGTGTTGTGGATTTCCTCTGTGAATAAAAGACGTAAGCAATCTGTTCAGTCTTATAAATCAAGAGAATTTTTAAACACTTGCATGATATAAAAAAATATCCCTGCAGTAGTTTCTTGCTCTTCCATTACTTTTCTGCCTAAATTTGGAATACTGTGATGATATTGCAGAACTTTCTTCTATAAATGCTTCCGCTTTTAGTTCAGATGTATGCTTTGGCAGAAACTCTGTGACTTTCCAGTAGAATAGCAATTTGGGAGGAACGAGGAGAAAGAGGGGTTTTATTAGTGACTGTATCTCTGAGGCTTCTGCGGGAGCAGGCGAGGCAGCAGGGATGGCCGGGCAGATGCTGCAGGTCTGCACTGTCGTTCAGGTTTGAGGACTTTCCGCAGCCCAACACAGTGTTGGGTTGTCCATCCATCTGTGCAGGTGGGGTGCCCTCAGCAAGAACCACAGTTACTTCTGGGTTCCTTTCACAGGAACAGCCTTTTGGCTTTCTGAGCTTCCTCTCTATCTTGGTTCTTTCCCACAGCCCACACCCTTTCCCAGGACTTTTCCATTTCTCCCAGTTCAGCAATGGATTGCCCAATAACATAAATGTCTTGTCCCACAACTGGGCCCAACATGGACATCCTTGTCCTATACCAGGTGCTGGGGGCAGACTGGAGTATTTTGGCTCTCCTTCCGACAGTGAAAGTGGCCCCATCAGGGTCTTAAGAGACAGGGGCATAAATGGCTTTTCTCATCCCCAGCTCCCTAAAGATTTGCTGTGCCTCCTCTATAGACTGCCAGGGTTCCATGTACCCGTGGGGAATCCTCTCAGTGGACCAGATCTTTATGCAAGTGAGAATAACTTAATCCATAAGGGAGTGAGCACCTTAAATCTCCCTCCCCACAGCACCAAGCAGGGTGTGTGGTGACGTGGCCCATTTTCTCTTCTTCCTGAGAGAGCAGAGAAATGCTATCTCACATCCAACCCCCGTATACTTGGCCTGGCCTTTTGCTGAAACTTGGCAGCTACAATAAGCCAAGTGGAAGTACATTTTCTTATCACAAACATTGCCTAAATTGAGGGCTGCCCCACTGCCTGGTGGTCGTCTTGCTGTTGTTGTTATACTTTTGCTTTCCTTTGTATTAGGGGTTGAAGGGCATTGAGTGTTTTATCCATCAATCACCACACCCTCTTCTTCTCTTTTCTAGCTTTCCCAGGGATTTCACCTCTTAGCATCTCAGTCAGTCTTGGTTACAAGCTCTTGGACCTTGATCCATGGCAGTCTGCACCTTCTTGGCTGCACAAAGCGGCACACTAAGGCCTCCAGCTTACCCTGCTCTCCCACTTGTTCGCCAGCCTTGAAGGTAACAGAGCAGTGAACTACTGCACATCCTTTTCTAACCTCGGCTCTTCTCCCAACTTTCTAATTAGAGCTTCAGCTTGTGGTTGAGCATCGGTGCCCAGAGTGCAGACCAGCCCACTGTGAAGTCATTCTTTTTCCTTCTTAGCCACAGCGTGTTCTACACAGTTCCTCAAATAAGTGCACTGAAGCACCTGGTGTTCTGGGGCGGTCCCTGTATGTGAGTGGCAGTCCACAAGCATCTAACATATAGGCTACCCCTTCTCTCACAGAAATAGACGGCCAACTGAAGACTCCCCCTGAGGATGCCTCTTTCCCAAGGCTCATTTCTTTGGTCTCCTAGCTGGCTCGTCAATTGTTAGAGAGCAAAGAGAGACTGAAAAAAGAGGTCTTCCGCTCCAGATTGCTAGGTGGCAATTTTAATGAGCAAAAGAAGTACTTAATGAGGCTTTTCTCGGGAGACTGCAAGATGAGTAGTTTCACAAGTAGATGCTCATCAGAGCCTTACAAATTTATGTAGAGATGTTAACTGTGTTCAGTCATGTATTCAGTCCAGATGATCTCAAGAACAGCTTACTCTTTCAAGACTATGTCCTTGGGACAGCTCCGACTGTGGAACAGGAGGCAGAGTGTACATTCCAAGGATAGGGAGCTGGGTGAGGAGCCTTGAAATGCTCAGGTCCAGCTTGAGAATTGTTAACCTGTGCTAACATCCTCTTGATTACTTCTCTTACAAAGAGACATTTGTGTTAGGAAAAAGGAACTACAAATACTAATGCTTAAGAATGACTGGTTATTTAATAATAAATTGTATATGTTCTCAAGAATAAGAACAAACTGATAGTACCAGAGGGGAGGTGGGAGAGGATAATGGGGGCGGGGAGAGGGAAGGGTTTTGAGGAACAACTATAAAGGACACACGGACAAAAGTGGGGTAGGATCGAGGGTGGGAGGCAGGCATGGCTGGGGTGCGGGGGAAATAGAGGCAACTGTACTTGAACAAAATTAAAAATGAAAAAAAGAATTTGGAAAGGTCCCATTTTCCACCAACATCATGAAAGCACAAAACAGGAAAATAAGACGACAACAGCACAATAACATACTAAAGGCAACGGTGTTAAAATGTTAACAGCACAAAACAGACAATAGAGTGTGCTAAGTAATGAACCACATGTAGAGGGAAGTCTGAGAAAAGGGAAGTTCTGCAATTCACCAGGGCCATACAGTTACAAAAAGAGGAAATATGGACTAAAATAGGGAGTACTATTTTAGCTTACAAGAAACCATGGGATTATTAATTTCAAATTCACATAAAAAGTTGAGGTTTAAGCAAAATTGGAAGGACCAATATTCTCTAACTAGTAATGAGAGACATTTACTTAGTTATTAGCACAGACATTTATTCATCTTAAGGCTAAGAGATTTTTGTCTAAATGACATGATATGAGAGAGGGATGGGGAGGGAGAGAAACGACCTGCAGTTTTCATTATTTTGTCGGAAATGGGTTTTTATTATACTTGTGAAATTAAAATATAGTTTGAATGTAAAAGTTAAAATTGGTAATCACATTTTCTCTTAATTTTAGTGACACTTTCTGTCAGATGGCATAATACTTATTTAAACATACAATATTCCAATTTCTGATCCTATGTCTGGAGCCTAACTTTTCTGTCTGGAAACTTTAAGAATGTTTGATTTATTTTTTGAATTCTGAAATTCCATAGTGAGGTGTGCTTTGGGTCTATTTTAGCCTTCCTGTTGGCAGTCAGTGGGACATTTTAAACAGAAAACATATTCTTAACAGCTGAAAAAACTTTCATATTTATTTTATAATTTTTTCTATTTTATTCTAATGTCTTTTTCTAGCCTTTCTGTTGTGAGATATCGGTGCTCTTTGGTTCAGATTCTACTATCATTATATTTTTTCCTATTTTTAAATGCATAGATTTTACTAGCTAGGAGACTGCCTCAAGTTTTTCCTCCACTCATTTTATAAAATTAGTTTATCTTAATTTATTTTATTAAAACTTTAATTTCCAAGGGTTTGTTCTTGTTCTTTAATGTTTCCTTATTTTACTCTTTTTAAGTGATTCAGTTTTTCTATATTTCTTATTCCCATGGCTATTGATTTAAACAATATTCAAACTGTTTTCTGTTTTTTACCATCAATTTCAGTCTGAACTTCATGTTATTTGTGCTTGCTTTGGTCTCCACTCTTTATGAGACCTACCTAAATATCGAGTGACCCTTGAATGTCTATTAAAGCATAAAAGTAAGGTACTAACTAAGCAGTGGGAGGCTCTATGTCAGGAACTAGCGGACATTACTATGGACATTCAGGCAAAGACTGCTCATATTTTCTTATTCTCAATATTTGTAAGTCTTTTATACAGGTTAGTTTTCTCCAAGAGAAAACTATTCTTCTAAGTGAAATAAGTCAGACAGAGAAAGACGAGTACTGTATAATTTCACTTACATATGGAATTTTTTTCACTACCTCCCTCCACCACCCCCTAAAACAAACTCATGCATACAAAAAACAGATTGATGGTTGCCCAAACTGGTGTGGGAGTGGACAGAATGGGTGGAGGTAATTAAAATGTACAAACTTCCAGTTATAAAATAACTAAGTCATTGGGATGTAATATAGTTAATAATACTCTATCGTATAGTTGAAAGTTGCTTAAAAGTTCTCATCACATGACCAATTGTGACCAAAAATGACCAATAAAATGGTCACTATTATGGGTGACACCCACTATGTTGGGTGTCAACTAGCCACTGTAGTGGTCATTTATATATATATGTACATACATGTGTTCTCATATATATATCACAAATCATGTTGTACACTTGAAAAATATGTCAATTATACCTCTCAAGCTGTAGTGGAACAAATTTTACTGTTCTAAGGACTCATGTAATCAGTTCAGGATTACACATTCAATCCAAAATAGTCTCTCTATCTGAATGTCTATAATATTAACTACATCTGCAAATTTCTTTTTGTCAGGTAATATCACGTACTTACATTCTCAGTGCTGTGGATATCTTGCAGGGGGTCATTTGACCTAGTGCAGATTTAATTTATAATGGCATCACAGCTGTAATGTGTCTAGGAATAAATTCAAAGAGATATATGAGTTTTATATAAAAAAATCTATAAAAGTATAAAAGAAATTAAAGAGACCAAATAAAGAAGACTGAAATAAAATGAGATTAAATCATAAGCAGGGATTAAAAGACTTAATAAAGGTGTCACTTTTGCTAGCTTGGTTCAACAGCTTATTGAATCTCAGTTCCAGCAGGTTTCTTGTGAAAATTGTGAAGACAATTCTAAAGTTTAAATGGAAATACAAACAGTTAAGAATAATCAAGATATACATAAAGAACAATAAAGTGGAGAAACTTGCTCTACTAATATAATTAGAGCAAGTAGAGCAAGCTCTACTAATATAATTATTTAATTATAAATAATTAAAACTTACTATAAAGGAATGCTAATTAAGATAATGTAGTTTGGCAGAATAATAGACAGATAATATATCAATAAAGCAGAATGAAGAGTCTAGAAAGTGACCATACAAACAAAAAAAACTACAAGACTTATGACTATAGTGACTGTAGCCCAGTGGAGAAAGGGTAATTTGCCAAACCATATTGCTAACTAGGTATTTGTTTAAGAAAAAGCAGAAGTTGATAAGGATCCAGTTTCATTGTTTTGGATGTTTATATCCAGTTTTCCCAACATTTAAAAGACTATCCTTTTTGCATTGTGTATTCTTGACACCCTTGTCAAAAATCAGTTGACTATATGTGTGTAGGTTTATTACTTGGCTCTTTATTCAGTTTCATTAGTCTACTTGGAACTATTTTTATTTTTATTTCAGTACCATATTGTTTTGATTATTGTACCCTTGTAATATATTTTGAAATAAGGAAGGAACCTATTTCAAATA